TCAATCCTTACTTCTGCTGGAGGTGGTGTAGCATGACCTGTATGCTGCTTCCAGGTGGAAGAGAACAGCACACAGCTGAGACCTGGGGAGGCCAATGCCAGACCTCTTTCATCTTCAGCTGGATGGGAACATGGCAAGAGAGGGGGGGAAGGAAAGAGATAAAGTTGGAGAACTGGAAAGCAGTATCCTATTTCCTCATTACTGAGACAGGAAGATCAGTGTGATTCTTTCATCTATCAGGTGTATTTGCCCTCCTCCCTCTGGGTAACACCAAAAGTGTGTAGTGTAGTATTTCTACCCTGGCCTCTAAACAATATTTTTTGAGACACTTGGGGTTGGAAGGGACCTCTGGAGATCATTTAGTCCAACCCCCTGCCAAAGCAGGTCCACCTAGAGCAGGTTGCACAGGAACATGTCCAGGTGGGTTTTGAATGTCTCCAGAGATAGAGACTCCACCACCTCTCTGGACAGCCTCTTCCAGGGCTCTGCCACCCTCACAGGAAAGAAGTTCCTCCTCATGTTTAGATGGAACTTCTTATGTTCAAGTTTGTGCCTATTTCCTCTTGTCCTGTCACTGGGCACCACAGAAAAAAGACTGGCCCCATCCTCTTGACACCCTTCCTTTAATTATTTATAAGAATTGATCAGATCCCCCCTCAGTCTTCTCTTCTCCTCTCCAGACTGAAAACACCCAAGTCTCTTAGCCTTTCATCATAAGAGAGATGCTCCAGGCCCCTCATCATCTTCATAGCCCTTTGCTGTACCCTCTCCAGCAGTTCCCTGTTCTTTTTGAACGGGGGAGCCCAGAACTGGACCCAGTGCTCCAGATGGGACCTCCCCAGGGCAGAGCAGAGGGGTAGGATGACCTCCCTTGACCTGCTGGTCACACTCTTCTTGATGCACCCTGTATACTCTGGTTTCTCTTCACTCTATGGTAACCACATACACTCTGGTCCCAGACTACGCTTGCAATTAAGAAGTTATACATCCACAAACAGGAGGGAAAAAACAGTCTTTGATCTCAGGCAGTTACCTTTAGGTAGGTGTTGAATCTGAACCTTTTCAATGCTGCTTTACTTTACCAGCAGTCTTTTTGATCTCAGGCAGTTATCTTTAGGTAGGTGTTGAATTTGAACCTTTTCAATGCTGCTTTACTTTACCATACATAAATTCTAGGCTAGAATTTATTTTTGCCTGCTGTTCTGTAGCTAATATGCAAGTATAGAATCAAACTAAACATGTTGTTTTGGATGAAATCATTGCATAGAAGTCACTCCCATCTTTGCCAGGACATCACAACAACCTTCAGCTGTACACACAGGGTTCTTCTCAGTCTTAACTGATGATATAACTCTTGCTGTTGCAAGTATTGTCACTAAATTTACTGCGCTATTGAATATTGAAAATTAATGCCCAGAGTGGTCTCATTCATTTGTTCCCTGGCTAAGATACAGTTATTTCCTATCATCAAATAGTTTATATTGTATCAAGGTTCAAAAGGGTTTTCCGTCCTCTGAAAAAGTCGAGCGTAGTCAGCAGTAATGAAAGGGCAATGAATAATACTCTACGTCATGGCTTTCAAACTTTAAGAATTCCACTGGGGTCACTGGGTTGAATTAGAGACCCTTTAATCATTAGTACAGTTTTATGAATGGTGTACTTTACTCTGATATTTTACTAGACGTCACTACTTAACACACTTCTGGCTCCATGGAAGGAAAAACAAAAGGCTTTGTGTGCCTCGAGGTCCCTGTAGTTTTGAGGATCATTATAATTCTACTGAGTCAAATCCTGAGGTCCTTCTGTAGTTGTTGTACCATGCTAAATCAACTGGAATTTGCAAAAAATACACCAAGAATCTCAAGATTTGGCCTTTTAAGAGTAGCTAAAACTTTCTCCCAGGTGGAGGAAGAATTAGCTGCAGTTGTGATTCCCACTCAATGCAACGTAACCAGCTTGTGTTTGTGTTACTCCTGTGCCCCAGGATGGCAATCCCCAATCCCCCTGTGAGCAGTCACTTACTGACGTTGGAAATCCTTGTGTCAGAATCCTTGGGTGAAAACCTTGGGTTTAATAACTGACTGTTACTAAAAAGGGATTGTTTTAAACTGTGACAAATGTTGCGCGTGCGAAAGCAGTACTGCACAGCAGTGACTGTGTCACAGATGCAAGTCTCTTCATCTCGGTGACTGGGAGACAAGTGGACCTCTGTAATCCTCTGTGAAAGCCAGGGCTTCTCCCCCAGTCTCTTGCTCAGACCTGCTGAACTCGTGACATTTCCAAGGCCTCATTTTGTGCCCCAGAGCTGAATGATGGGGCACCATTTCACAAAACAGATGAATAAATCCATACCATTGGGGGGGCACTTAGAATCACAGAATGGTTAGAGTTGGAAGGGACCATAAAGATCATGGAGTTCCAACCCCCCTGCCCTGGGCAGGGACACCTCCCACCAGACCAGGTTGCTCCAAGCCCCATCCAGCCTGGCCTTGAACCCCTCCAGGGATGGGGCATTTCCACCAAGGTGTTCTCTATTTCTCGTTAACAATGAAAATAAAGTGATAGCCCATTATAAAACATTTGCTGCTGAAGTTAAAAAAGGATACTTGAGCGTATGCCAAGCTGAGGAGAAAATAAAATTGGTATTTCAATTTCAAATTTCTTAATATGCATCAGAGAGTTTTTACAAGTTTTCACAGTCTAGGTGAGGCTCATGCCCCAAGGAGTCTGCTTCATCTAAACCACTTTCTTCCCCTCTTTCTCCTCCCCAAAACAAGAGGCAATCTTCAAAGGAACAAATGTGTCACTTTAAATACACAACATAAAAAATGGGCCAAATAAATTATTAAAATACATAAAAAAGAGATTCACAAAAGATGCATGTTATTAGCTATTTGACAAGCAATTGATGCTGTTGCAATAGCTGCGTTTCACAACTCAAGTGTTTTCTTTGCTAGACAGATAAATAGTTCAAATAATGTGAGAAACGACTTTGCAGTCATCCCAAGAACAATTTGGCTTGAAATGGTTCATTTAATGGCTTTCCACTGGCTGTGCTTGTGCAGTCGTTTCATACCAGACCTTCACCACATCCATGTGCTTTGGAATTCCTTCTAAAAATGAGCTCCAAGCCTGACCCTCCTCTCCCCGTCCCAATTCCCTGCAGAAGTGTTACTACATATGCTTTGAATCTTTTTTTTTTTTTTTTTTTTTTTTTTCAGATGAGCTCCCAAGTCTAACTCCTTCCTCCTTGTGCTTGAAACGTATGGATTTGAAAGCACAGATGTGGCCTTGAAGTTTTTGGACCAGGCCCATCTGGGTCAATCCCTACATAGTTTAACTAGTAGTTTCTTGAGTGAAATTCTCAGAAGCCTTCATTTTTTTTCTTGTTCTGAATCTACTCCGCGCTCCCTTTTATCTCTCCTAGTTGAACTACAAGGATCTCAAGGGAGATGTGATTTTCATAAACAGAAAAATAATGACCAGCCAGAGGAAGGAAACAAATTTTTTAATGACTGTGAGAATTGTCTTTATGAAACAGCAAGTTTCCTTTTAGTTTATTCTATATGTAAAAAATATGCCATTCATAAGCTGGGGAGGAGAAGGGGGAGATTCTCTTTAATTCTCATCCACTCAAGTAATAATATAATAATAATAATTTAACAAAGCTGGTAGAGACTGTCAGCAGTTTGAACCTCGGAGAGAGGGGTGCTGGATCTGAGCCTGAGAAGGCACGTTGGGGTGAGCGGTGCCTTCGGTGGGGTCACTCCCGTGCCCAGGGGTGCCCGGGGAAGAGTTTGGGGACTGAGGCTCTACAACAACTGCTTTTCCAGAGGTGGCGGAGAGGCTGCCGAGCGGGGACAGAGGGGTTGGGGAGGTTGGGGAGCGCTCCTCACCGTACCCCCCTCCCCGGGCAGGCGCTTTGCGAGCCCCCCAAAAGGCGGGCAGGGCGGCCGGCGCCCTTCTGCCTCCCGGGAGGGTGACCCTCCGGCCCGCCCGGAGAAGCTGCTTTTCCCCCCGATGGAGGGGGCAGACCACGGGCCGGGCGGGACGGGGGCCGGTCTGGAAGCCCGTGCCCGGCTGGAAGTGAAACGCGCCCTCCTGGCTGCTCCTTTTTCTCTTTTTCTTTTTTTTTGGTGGCCTTGAAGTTTTTGGACCAGGCCCATCTGGGTCAATCCCTACATAGTTTAACTAGTAGTTTCTTGAGTGAAATTCTCAGAAGCCTTCATTTTTTTTCTTGTTCTGAATCTACTCCGCGCTCCCTTTTATCTCTCCTAGTTGAACTACAAGGATCTCAAGGGAGATGTGATTTTCATAAACAGAAAAATAATGACCAGCCAGAGGAAGGAAACAAATTTTTTAATGACTGTGAGAATTGTCTTTATGAAACAGCAAGTTTCCTTTTAGTTTATTCTATATGTAAAAAATATGCCATTCATAAGCTGGGGAGGAGAAGGGGGAGATTCTCTTTAATTCTCATCCACTCAAGTAATAATATAATAATAATAATTTAACAAAGCTGGTAGAGACTGTCAGCAGTTTGAACCTCGGAGAGAGGGGTGCTGGATCTGAGCCTGAGAAGGCACGTTGGGGTGAGCGGTGCCTTCGGTGGGGTCACTCCCGTGCCCAGGGGTGCCCGGGGAAGAGTTTGGGGACTGAGGCTCTACAACAACTGCTTTTCCAGAGGTGGCGGAGCGGGGACAGAGGGGTTGGGGAGGTTGGGGAGCGCTCCTCACCGCACCCCCCTCCCCGGGCAGGCGCTTTGCGAACCCCCCAAAAGGCGGGCAGGGCGGCCGGCGCCCTTCTGCCTCCCGGGAGGGAGACCCTCCGGCCCGCCCGGAGAAGCTGCTTTTCCCCCCGATGGAGGGGGCAGAGATCGGCACCCCGCAGCCTGCGGAGGGCGGGGCGGCCCCGGGACCCCCCACCCCCCCCCCCCACCACGGGCCGGGCGGGACGGGGGCC